CGAGTGTGCGTGTGTGAGTGTGTGCACGCGTGTGTGCATGTGCATGTGCGTGTGCGTGTGTGTGCGTGTGTGGGTGGACCCGGACAGAGGCCAGCCGGCCAGGGCTGCTGCCCCAACACGGGCCCTCCAACACGGGTCAGAGGTGAAAGGAAGCGTTACAGGCTGGAGGCTGGGAGCCGGCACCCGGGGTTGGGGGGCCTGGGAGGAGCCCCCCATCTGAACACACTGCTGATAGGATGGGTCCCAAGTCTTCATTGTGACCTTGTAACCCACTCAGCTGCTCCCCGAAACAGGGCTGGGGTACCATGGACAGTGAGACGCCCTTTCCATCCCCATCTTTCTAAGGCTGGACCTCCGAGCAGGGTCCCCCCACACCGAGGGTCCCCCCACACCAGGGCATGTCCCGGGACAGCACAGGCCCACTCCACGGCGGGCTGTAGGGAGGTGTTGTGGCCCAAAGGGCAGCTGCCTCGCTGGGAGCTGGGGGCCGAGGCTGAGCGAGGAGGAGCCATCCTGTGCGAGAGGGTCCCCCGCCGCCCCTCCCCCGCTGCCCGTAATTTGGAGAATGACCTTTGCCTGGGTTCTCTCACCTGGCCTCTTCCTGGGGCCTCTTCCCTGCCCAGCGCCCCCTCCGGCCGCCCCCTCCAGCTTCCAGCCTTTACAACCAGCGCCCCTAATCCGCAAGCCATAGGGCGACCCCCATACCTACTCCCGCACCCTGCGTTTCCCTCCCCCAGGCCCTGCTGCCTCCGGAGCGCCCGGCCGTCTGGGCCTCAGCCTGGCTGGTGGGGCTGCTCAGCTCACAGTGTGACTCTGTTTTTCCCTTATTTATTTTTTAAAAATAGATTTTTATGGCTTTCCGAGAGGAAGGGAGAGGGAGAGCAACATCCATGATGAGAGAGAATCACTGACCGGCTGCCTCCTGCACGCCTCCTACTGGGGACCCAGCCCGCAGCCCGGGCCTGAGCCCTAACGTGGAGCCGCACCGCGCCCTCCTGGCTCCGGCGGACCCTCGGCCAGCAGGAGGGGACCGTGTTGCTGTGGGGCCTGGGCTCCGGCCGGTCTGGGGTTATGGTCGCCGGAAGGACAGCAAGGAGGTGGCCTTGCTTCTAGTCTGGGTCACTGACCCCTCGTCCTCCTGGACTCTGCCCGGGGACTCTGCACTCCGGGGCCCTGGCTGCCCCTCCGTCCCTCCCTGCACAGCAGCTGAGGGGACTCCCCAAACCCCAGGCCGCGGGCTTCACACCTCGGCACCTCGAGGGAGCCCTCCCCCACCCCCTTGGCGGCCCTCCGGCCAGCACACTGCTCATCGGCTCCTGCTTTCACCGTCCCTCCCCTTCACCCGCTGCTGTGGGTGCCCGGGGCCAGGCCCTGTGCCCAGGGCATCCAGGTGCCAGGCGGGCCATCTTGGGGGGGCGTCGGGGGGGCATCTGGGCGGACATTCCTGCATTCCCCAGTCCACGGCCGTCTCTCTGCGGCCTCCTCACTCCACAGGGGCCCGAGCCGAGGGCAGAGGCAGCGGCCAGGCCTCCGGCTGGAGGTCAGAGGGGCTCTGGGCCTGATGTGCCCTGAAGGCCGGCAAGGCGGACCGCAGGGTCCTGGGGTTCAGGGGCCGAGGCCGGGAAGCCCTCAGTGAGCCATGCGCCCATGTCCGCACATGGGGGTGACGTCCCCCGTGGGCCTGGGCCCCCCGTGTCTGCAGCCAGGGACACCCGTCCTCCCCCTGCCCAGAGGAAGGGGTACTGACCCCTGTTGTGCCGGGTCCCGTGTGGCTGGGACCCTCCAGGTGGGCGTCCGGGTCCGAGTGTTCCAGGCCCGGTGACGGCCACGCCCAGAGCCCGGGAAGCACCCGCCGAGAAGGTCTGTTTACGTCTGTCCTAAGGCAGCGTCCCGGCTGCGTGTCCCGTTCCGAAGAGCCTGCTCCGGGCTGGCATTTCCCTCTTCTCCTCCCTCCTCCGGCCCACCCCCGCCCGCCGCCCTCACCGGGACCCGTGCGCCCAGTGCCAGGCACGGGGGGCGGTGGACTCTGGGTCTGACTGGCACTGCCGGGGCTGCCTGAGCCCTGGCCCTGCCACCCAGCAGCCCCCGCCTGCCTGGGCCCCCCCTTACTCCCACCTCCGTGTTCTCCCCACTCGCCTGGTCTCTGGAGGTCCCTGCCCGCCCCCCTCGCCACAGCCTGGCAGGGTGGCCTGCCTGCAGGTCCAGCGGCCATGTGGGGGCGGAGGTGTGAGGGCGGGGCGCCCAGGAGGTTGGTTTCATGCCGCCCAAGTATGAGGAGGAAAACGGTTTGTGGGGGATGGATGGGCGTCCGAGTCTATTAGTGACCAACCAGCTGGGGAGGACGGGTGATCCTGACCTTCCTCCCAGGGCACCCACCCCCCACCCCGCCCCGAGGGTGCCTCCTGTGTGGCCACTGGGACCAGGCCGGCAGCGTGGGTCCCCCTGGGACGGGCAGGGACACCGAGGCCCCGGCGGACTCTGGGCTGTAGCCGGCCTGGCCGTGCTCGGGGCTGCGGGCTGCCGGGGCGCGCTGGGATGCTTCCGGAGACCGAGTGGTTCGGCAAGGGCGGGTCGGCGGGCTCCAGCTCAGGGCACCGTCCGCAGGCTCCCGGCTGGGTGCTGCCCGGGGCTCCCGCTGGCCCCTCGCTGGCGCCCGGCCCACTGGGCTTCCGTCTCCACCCCAGGCCCTCAGCTGGCCCTGACCCTTGACCCCGGCCGGGGCCAGGGCGCTCCTGCTGTGGCTCCTCCCGCAGGCTGCAGCCAGGGCCCGGCGGGCACCCTTGGGGCACAGGGCAGCGGGCAGTGCCACCCTCTCCCAGCGGCAGACAAATACCCGCGTGGATGGAGCCACAGCTCGGGGACGCGGCGGGCTGTCTGTGCGCTGCTGGGAGAGATGGCGCTGCATTTAATTGTAATTTAGGTGTAAAATACGCCTCTTTGGCGGCAGCCTCGCGCCTTGTGCTAATTACTCCGCCGCGCTCCCCGTTGCCCCGAGAGCAGTAATTTACAGCTGGCAGTGCCTAACGCAGACGCAGTCCCTGCCCAACGCACTCTCAAGGTGGGACTGAGATAATCACTAGAGACCGTTCTATCGCCCAGGGTCCCCAGCTCTGCCGCGCTCGGAGCGGGCGCCTGGCCCTCACACCCCGCCCGCCGGCCCGGCTCCGAGGCCCTCCCTGGGCTCCGGTGCCTCTGGGGGACGCATGGGCCCGGAGGGTGCCCCTGGGAGAGGGACTGCCCGCTGCTCCTCGTTAAGTCAGGGCGGGATGGCGGCCACATGGGAGGCGGGAAGCCGGGCCGGCTGCAGAGGCGTTTGGCCTGCCCGGGGGAGGGCTGACTGCAGGATGCCAAGGGGGCGCCTGGTGTGCCATTGCCCGAGCAGCTGACTCTCTGCCTTCCTGGCTTAGCATGGCGGGAAGAGATCGGTCCAGTCATCGTGGGCAATCCACGCCAGCCCCACCCACCACAGGGTGCCGCGGCCCCTCAGGCACCATTCTGACGCAGAGGCCACGGGATGGGCTGGGAGGGCGGGGGCTGGGGCCGGGAGGAGGAGGGCGGCTCCGATGGGGCGGGTGGCACGGGACATGGCGGGAGGTGGGGGGGGGGGAGAGGAAGGAAGCTGGTTGCTCAGCGCCAACGCCTGGACCCCGAGGGGCTCCTCAGGGCGCAGCCCCAGGCGGGGCCTGACCAGAGGCGTGGCCAGCTCCCCCTCCCCCCCCCCCAAGACCTGGGCTCCACCTTGCCCTCACCTGATTGGCGACTTTGGGAACCTGACCCCGCCCACCTGCCGAGGGGACGCAGGAGCGCCCGGTGGCCCAGGAGCCTGGGGTGTCCCCGGACTGGAGGGTGGGAGGGTGGTCAGGAGCCTTCAGTCCCCTGGGAGGTCAGGGAGGGCGCTCTGTCCTCAGAGCAGCTCCTCGGCCGACCTGCGCACAGTGGGGCCGCAAATGCCCACAGCAGGACCCTCGGCCACCCCCGGCTGCAGTTTCTACGCTGCCCCATCACGGTACGATGCCCGAGGGGTCGCATTACTGCCTGGCCCTTTTTAAAAAAAATATTACCTTCACTGATTTTAGAGAGGAAGGGAGAGGGAGAGAGAGAATCATCCATGATGAGAGAGAATCCTGGACCGGCTGCCTCCTGCACGCCCCACACTGGGGAGTGAGCCACAACCCGGGCCTGTGCCTGTCCAGGAATCGAACCCTAACCTTCTGGTTCATAGGTCGACACTCAATCCCTACAACACGCCGGCCGGGCCCCTGTCTGGCTCTGGTGTGCGACCCCGGAGCCGGTCTCTGTGAATTCTTCAATGAGGAGCGGAAAGGGGCAGGGGGACGGAGGGTCCTGGCGTCAGGCCGTTTGGTGAGTGGGGAGCCGAGAAGATGTGGCTTTTTAGGGTCCCCATTCCCTGGATGGAGGGCCCCAGCCCGATGTCAGCTCCTGTGGAGGGCGGAGCAGGTGAGGGTGCCCACGGCTCAGGCCCCTGGGGGAGGTCACAGCCCTGGCCGGTGGGACCCACGGGCGGGCGGCATCCATGCGTCTTCGACAAAGAGCCTCCTAAAGGGGCCTGACTGGAAATCGATGCTTTAAAGCTGAAATCAATGGCCATAACGGGTATTAATACTGATGGTCCTCTCTCACTGCTCTCTGCAGCGGGGGGTGTGTTTAAGGCTGGGGGGCGCCGCGCAGTGCGGCGGGGGGGCGCCCCGCAGTGCGGGGGGGCCGGGGGGGCGGGGGAGCAGCCCCTGTGCTCGGGCTGAATGCTCAGGTCTCCCAGCCCCGTTCCCCACGTTCCCGGGCTGTCGCTGTCACGTGTGGGCAGGGGCGCGGGGACCTGGGTGGCTTGGGGTGGGTGTTGCGGAGGGAGGTGGGCTGGGTGCTGCGGGCCTGTGTGCTGGGCGCGGCTCCCACGCAGCGCACAGACGGTGGCCCTGCTTGCCCGCGTCCATTCCCTGGGCCCGCATTCGGGTTTCCTCGGAAGCTTCTGGAAGGTGTAACACAGTGCCCTGAGCTGCGGGTGAGGAGGGGCCAGGTTAGGGCACAGAGGGAGCGGGTACCCCGCTTCCCAAGCCTCGGGGCTCACTGTCCACCGAGCAGGCAGGAGGCGTGGGCCCCGGATGAGGTGCCGTCCCACCTCTGGGCTCCTGGTCCCCATCTGTGGGTGGGGCTGGGGGCACGGGCTGGGGGCACAGCCCCGGGAGGCCCTCCCGGGCCCTGGCTGCCTGGCTGGGGCTCCCCACGCCCAGACCCGGCCGCCCCGGCTCCTGCCTGCCCGCCCTCCTGTTTGCCTGCTACCCGTCGCCGTGGCATGGACAAACGGACTGAGGACAGACTGGGGGAGAGATAAGGCCAGGCCAGGGACCAAAGGTGAGGCGCTCCCCTCCCTCCCCCCCGCCAGGTCATCGCTGACCCTGACCCCTGTCTGCCTGCGCCAGGGGCGGGGACGCCGGCCAGCGTTCCGGAAGGCTCCGTGTCAGCTCCGGGAACCCCGGGGGCAGCTGGCCGCTGGAGACACACAGTGAACGTAAACAAAGGCCCCAACAGCCTCTGTGCACCTGCCTGCTCCCCCCAACCGCCTTCCAGGGCCTCACAGCGCATTGAGTTGTTACCCCCATTTTACAGACCAGAACACCGAGGCCGGAGCTCAGGGCTGTTAGGACGATGGGGAGCGGGGAGTCTAGTTCCCGTCGCTCTGACTCTGGAATCCACGGGCCAAGCCCAGACCGGCGGAGGGCTGGGGCGGGCGGGCAGGGGGGTAGGGGGGATGGGCAGGCAGGCAGGCGGGCGGGCGCGGGACCCAGCGCAGGCAGGTCTGGACCGCGTTCTGCTCTCTGTTGCTCTGGGGCCTCAGTCGGAGCCGCGGTGGTTTTCCGTGCAGACGGGATGGGACGGGACGTTCTGGCTAATGAGACGCGGAGCAGCACCCGCCGTCCGCAGGAATGCTCTGAGCTCCCATGCCGCCCGTGACTGCCGGCGCCCGCCCGCCCGCCCACCCTCTCCTCCGCTGGAACAGGGAGGTTCCACGCCGGAGGGGGTCCCACAGCCCGGGAGCCAGCCGGCTCCCCCAGGGCTCCCAGCCCCCATCCTGCCCGCTGTCCCACTGGGGGGATCCCCGGGGACGGCGCAGGGGAAGGCGGCTCTCCTGTCCCTCCCGACGGGGAGCTCCAGCCCCGCACACGGCCGGCCGAGCTGTGCGGCTGGGGGTTTGGGCCGTGTGGCCCACTGGTTGGAGCACTCCGTGGGGCCGGGGGTCAGAGCATGCCCGGCTCCAGCTCCACTGGCAAGGCCCCTGGACTGGCCTGGGCCTCAGTCTCCTCATCTTTAAAATGGGAGCTGTTCAGGGTGAGCGGCGCTGACCCAGCAGCTGAGGGCCTGCTGGGGTCCATGTGTGGGTGCTGGTCCCCGTGCCTTGCTGGCCTTCCGTGTTGCTGGGCTGCAGACGAGGTTTGCTGGGGACACCAGCTTCTTCACACCCCACGATGACCCTCAGTTGGGGTGTTGGTGGGGAGGGGCCCTCCCTGGGGTGGGGGGGTAACAATTCCTGGGTGTGCTCATCCCCGGGGGGATGGCGCCTTCTCTGCTCCCCACTGTGCTCCCAGGAGAAGCTGCCTGCAGGTCTGCTTTAAGGGGGGCGCCTGGCTAAGAGGGTTACCCCCACATCACAGGGGAGGCACACACAGACCAGCTCAGGAAGCGTGACTCTACTGGGAGCGGGCCTGGGGGGCTGCCTGGAGGAGGCGCCCTGTGAGCACAGACTAGGAACAGCTGAGGTGGGGAAGTCAGAGGGGGGCTCTGTGCTCCTGAGGCCCCCCCTGTACCCCGCACCCTTAGAGCTGGTGAGCCAGCCCGGCCCTCCGCCTCGGACCCGGGCGGACAGGGAGGCGGCGGCCCGGCTGGGTGACGGCTCCTGGGTCGGCAATGCTGAGCTCTTATTTGTGCAGAATCACTGTCGTGTCATTAGCGCGGGGAACGCTCTGCGGGTTAAACGTTAAGCGGTGTGTGCCTGGCCCGGCTGACGGTCAAGGCCGTGGGCCTGGGTCCAGGCGTTAGCGTTCTCAAAGGACAGGCTGGCCAAGGGCCGTGGTGACCCAGAGCCCCCCTCCCGGGGTCTCGGATGGGCCCAGGGACCGGCCAGCCCCTTGAAGAAACGCCCAATGCCCCCAGGGCGGGGGGACCCCTCAGGAGGTGGCGGTGGATGGCGGGCAGTAAGGTGGATGATCTGGTGGTAGGTGGGTGAGGGCTGGGTGCCTGGGTGCCCGGATGGCCTTGGATCCACCATCTCGGTCCACATCCGGATCCAGCTATGAGCCCTTTGGCCGTGCTGGGCCCAGGCCCTCCGCACCCGCTCCTCCGGTGCAGCCTCGGAGATGCGTGTGTGGGGCTTGGGGGCCCTCCTTCCCTGAGGGGCTGGGTCGGGGAGCACTCCCTGCCCGCATCGCTGGCCTGAGAGGGGGTAACCCTCAGGCTTCAGGGCCTGGAGGTGGGTCGCTGGGGGAGCGGGCAGGAGTGTGCCGGCCGGGAGCTGCCCATCCAAGAGGCGGCTCCGAGCGGCTTCCCTGGGAGACGTGGTGGCCCGCCTCCCCGCCCCGCCCCCTGCCAGCCGCCCTGCCCCCTTCCAGCCGCCCTGCTCTCTCCCACCGGTCAGGGCCCCGGACCGGCGCTGGCTGGCGTCCGCGCTGGTGGCCGGCCTTGGCCTTGGCCTTGCCAGGGGAGGCCGGGGTCACTGGAAGTGGCGCTGGACGAGGTGATGGGACTTTGGCTGCTCGGGAAGAGCGGACTGTTTGTCCACAGGCTGGGCCCAGTGTCCACGTGGAGCTGGCCGTGGCCTGGAGCGGGAGCTCTGGGAGGGGGTGCGGGCAGGGACGAGAGCAGAGGCTTGCCCTCCGTGGGCGGCCTGGCTGGGAGCTGGCCTGACGCGGCGCTGACCAGCTGTTACCAGCACTTCGTGTGTGTGTGCGCGCGCGTGTGTGCGTATGTGTGTGGTGTGTGTGTGCGTGCGCGTGTGTGCGTATGTGTGTGGTGTGTGTGCGTGTGTACGGTGTGTGTGCATGTGCGTGTGTGTGCATGTGTGTGTGCGTATGAGTGTGTGCGTATGAGTGTGTGCGTATGTGTGTGGTGTGCACGCGCGAGTGTGTGTAACACTGTGTTCTATTACGGTGGACACACAGTGTTATATTGGTTTTAGGGGCACAACACAGGGGTCAGACCTTTACGTTAGACCTCAGGGAGGCATCGCCTGGCACGGCCTTGGCGTCCGGCGCCCCCGCGTGTCCGAGTGGTGGCGGGATCCCCCCTGGTTGACGCTGCAGCTGAGGGGGAGGCGGTGTCCCCGTGGCTGGCTGGTCCGTGGGCCGCCCTGCCCCTGCCCCGCGCAGCCACACGGGACCTCCCTGGGGAGGCAGTGACAGGGCGTGTGGGCGTCCGTGGAGTGACGGGGATCAGCACGTGGAAAAGTGTACTGGCGTCCGGCGGCGTGGCTCCGTGGTTGAGTGTTCGTGGTTTGATTCTGGGTTGCAGGCTCCATCCCCAGTAAGGGGCATGCAGGGGCAGCTGATCAACGATTCTCTCATCACTGATGTTCTAACTCTCTCCCTCTCCCTGCCTTTCTGAAATCAATAAAAAATATTAAAAACCAGCAGTGCTGGCTAGAACCCCATCGTGGCCGGCTCTGAGCGGTGTGGCCCTGCTCGGGCTCCCCCATCTCCGAGCCTGTGTCCTGCTAAGCGTCTCGGGAATTCGTGTTGTTGGTCCCAGGCCCGAGAGGGCTGGGGCCCAGGACAGACCCCGGCATCAAGATTCAAGAGTGTGCACATACATGCGTGCACCTGTGCGAGCACATGTGTGTGAGAGGTGTGTGTCAGGGGATCCAGACGCACATGGAGGGAGTAAGAGGAAGCGGCTGGAGATCATGCTCACAAGGTGTCCGTGCTGCAGGCGGGAGCTGGCTTGGATAGGGAGTGAGGCCTCCGTCGCTGGTGGCAATCAAGCAGGGGGTGTGGCGGCCTCCTCTCAGAGGGGCTCTGTTCCATTCCTGGAGGCCACAGCACGGCCTCTGACCCCACGGCCTTGCCCTTGACCGGGTAGCCTGGCGTGGGCAGGCCCACCCTGGCCGACTGGCCGCCTCCTGCTGGGCTCGGTCCCGCGGGGAAGCCGGACCTCGGCGGCTTGAAAGATGAGAGGACGTGGTTTGGATGTTTGGGTGAAGTGGCTTTTTATCAGAAAGCCCTCTGGGAGCCGCCGCCACCGCTGAAACCATATCTGTTGTCCGAGGAGGAGCGGACGGAGGATGCTCACTGAGATTTATGGCTTCCCCGGAGCCTAATTGCCTGAATCTCTTTAACAGCCGGCTAAGTGGGGCTAGGACAGACCACGGAGCCGAGGGGCAGCCCGCTCCCTCTCCCCCTTCCTCGCCCTCCCCCCCGCTCCCTCTTCCCCTTCCTCGCCCTCCCCCCCGCTCCCTCTCCCCCTTCCTCGCCTACCCCCCCTCACCCATTCCCCCCCCCCCCCCCCAGCATCCTGGATGCCCGGGCAGGTGTGGAAGCTGCTGGCGCTCAGGCTGCCATGGTTGGTGTCCCTGTGGCTGTTGGTCAGGGGACCTGCGGGCAGAGGCAGGGGCAGGGGCAGGGGCAGTGGCTGTCCTGCCAGACAGCGGGGCCGGGCTGGGCTTCCCACCAGGCAGCCCTGCGGTGTCGGAGCCCAGGAGCCTCCAGGGCTGGGCCTGGGCGGCTGGGCCGGTGGAGGTGAGCGAGGGCGGCCGTCTGTGGGCTCCTGAGGCCTGTGGCTCCCTTCTCTCATGCGGGCGACCTGTCCCGGGGTGGGGGGGAGAGCAGACCCCAAACCCAGCCCCCCAGAACCCCCTCCCCACAGGCCCATGGGCCAGGACACCCTGTTAGGTGTGTAACTGAGTTTTGGGGTGGTTTGTTACACAGCAAACATGCCGGATACGTGGCAGTGTTATTTTACTGACTGCTGTTTCCATTCAGCGCTACCAGGGGAGATGCTGAGGCTCAGAGAGGCCAGCCCGCCCTGAGGTCACCCAGCAGCCTGGCCTCCAGGCCCGTGCCCTCCGCCTCGGCCCTCCGCCCTGGGGCCTCAGGGAGCCCGGACCACGCTGCTGGCCACCTGCCATCAGCCTGTGTGCCAGCCTACCTCTCCAGGGAGGGCCGGCCCTGGTCCTGGCTCCCGGTTCCCCCAAAGGCCCCGCCCCTCCCCAGGGGAGGTGCATCAGCCTGGCCCCCTGGCCCCCCACCTGCCTCCAGGTGCCACG